CTGTTTTCTCCTCCACAGATGCTGCCAGACCTGCTGAGCTTTTTCAGCAACTTTGTTTTTGTTCCTGATTTACAGCATCCGCAGTTCTTTCGGTTTTTATCCAGTTTTATTTCTCTGCTGCTGTGCAGCAGATTTAGGACTGAGTGGAGGAGGGACTTCTTCACCCAATGGGTTGTGAACCGGTGGAATTTCCTGCCCAGTGAGGCTACCTCATTGAAGGCGAAGATGGATAGATTTTGGAACAGTTAAAGAATTAAGGGTTACGGTGAGCGGGCGGAGCTGAGTCCACGAGAAGATCAGCCATTGGATGCTGGAGCAGCCTCGACAGGCCAGATGGCCTACTCCTGCTCCTATTTCTTATGTTCGTTTCTGCTTTGACCCTCAGATCCTGAAACTGGGCCCACTGTTGAGAACACACAAGGCATTGTGGGCGGCAATGATGCCTTGGGTAAGTAGCCCATCAGAGCTAAATGCATTCGCTGCCTTTTCCAGGAGAAGACTGCAATTTTTTTTTTGGTTAGGGAATAATATTTAACGTTGAAATGATTTGGCCAGGCTGAGGCTAACCAAAACTGGGCAGTCCTCTCAAATTTGTGAATCATTAAACCACAATACTGGTTCATCTTCTGGTATGGTATGAGTGTTTCCAGTCTACCTAAGTTTGAGAATGTTTCTTTTATATTGTTTGTGTGATAATGTATTTTTCAATTGACTGTACAAGAGAGTAAAAATAGAGCTATTTGTATGTTCTGTGTCTGTGTTTTGCAATAAAGATTTGAAATAAATATCTCCCTTACTGAGTGCTAAATTTCTCAATTACTTATTCCAGTTACTCTGCTCCTTTTCAGTTAAGTACTGACATCCAGCTACGGGGCACATTTTGTCATTTTTCTCAGAATTGGTCTGTTCCTAATTTGAATTAGAATTTCTTTGGTAACCTCTAACTCAGATGTAGGATGAGGAACGAATCCTGACCAATGCTGAGGCAGAGCCTAAAGAACCAATCTGATCCAATGGTCCAATCTTGAGACGTTGACCAGCCTAGGATCCAATCCTGAGACACTGACCATCCAATGATCCGATCCCGGGACACTGATGATCCAAAGACCCAATCTGGGATACTGACCATCTGAGGATCCAATCCTAAGACACCGAACACCCAACAAACCAATCCTCAGGCACCGACCAGCCAAAGAACCAATCCAGAGACACTCTTGACCCAATGAAGCAATCCTGAAGCACTGACCACCCAAAGAACCATGCCTGTGACACTGACCATCCAACAAACTAATTTGGAGACACTAATGACCCAATGAACCAATCCTGAGACACTGACCATCAAAAGAGCCAATCCTGAGACGCTGACCACCTAATGAATCAATTCTTAGGCACCACCTACCCAATAATCCAATCCCGAGACACTGACCACCCAATGATCCAATCTGGAAATACTGACCATACAGAGAACCAATCCTGAGACACTGACCACCCAACAAACCAGTCCTTAGATACTGACCACCCAATAATCCAATCCTGAGACAATGTCCATCTAATTAACCAACCCAGAGACACTGACCATCTACGGATCCAGTCCTGAGATACTGACCATCTAATGAGCCAATCCTTAGGCCTCGAACATCCAGTGATCCGAGGCATCCAATGAACCAATCCTGAGGCAGAGCCTAATGAACCAGTTATGGAGCAGACCCCGTACCCGATGAACCAATCGCGAGGTTGAAACCATCCAATGCACCAGCTGAGAAGAGAGACTACCCATCCAATCAAATCCAAGGGACAGGTTTGTCACACTCCTGGGACAGGAATCATTCCCTGCTTTATAATCAGGATGAAATGACAAACCATGACTAAAGAGTAACCAGCTGCTCATAGGTCCTGTGACTGTAATACAGAAGTAACCAGTTGGGAGACAATAGACAAATAACTTGCGTGAGATGCAATGAGGTTCTGGATATATTTCCGACCATAGCCACTTACTCCTCATAATTCACCACTTAGAAAGTGCACTGTCACACTTGGGCTTCTATATTGGTGTTGGGTGTGACAGTGGTCAGTGTTGTGAAAGCTCTGCCCTTTCAAGGCTGGTTGTGGTTGGAGCCAGTGGACCTTTGCCAAGTTTCTGAGGATTGCACATTCCAAAGTCAATCCCAGATGGTGAGTTCCTGGTTTGCAGCAGCAGGGCTGTGGAATTTGTGGGGTTCCTGGTTTGCAGCAGCAGGGCTGGGGAATTTAAACCCGAGATTAAGTTCTCTGTTAAAAGGAGCTTGAATTAGCTCTGGGTATCTTCGTTCTACAGTTGCCCCGTTGTGTCTCTAACAATCAGTCAGTCCAAAGGAGCAGAAGCGGGGGTACATTTGGCAAAGTTCTTGGGAGCAAGGGGGGAGAGTTAAGACAGGACAATTCAAGGAAGGAATTCCGGAGGTTGGGATTGGGGTGCTTGAAAGAGTGGCCTCTAGTGATAAAGGGATAGATTTTGATATTCTGCAAGACTAAGTTAAAACTAAGACTATGTTCTGCTGAATAGCTGAACAGGAGGGTGGGAGATTGAGGGTTCAGAAGAGATTCACTATTATATTGCCAGGAATGGGGGATTTAAGTTATAGAAAGAGGCTGGGACTTTTTTTTTTCACTGGAATGTAGGAGGTTGAGGGGTGACCTCATTGAGGTTTATAAAATCATGAGGGGTATAGATAAGGTGAATGGCATGTGTCTTTTCTCTAGGATGGGGGAGTTCAAGACTGGGGGGAGGGGCATATTTTTAAGGTGACAGAAAAGACACAAGAGGGTGGTTTGTGTGTGGAATGAACTTCCAGGGGAAGTGGTGGATGCGAGTACAGTTGCAACATTTAAAAGACATTTGGATAAGCTCATGAATAGGAAACGTTTGGAGGGACATGGGCCAAGTGCAGGCAGGTGGGTTTAGTTTATTTTGGGATTATGATCAGCATGGATTGATTGGGCTGAAAGGTCTGTTTCCATGCTGTATGGCTCGATGACTCCAAGACCACAAGTGTGCAATGATTCAATCCAAGCTCGAACTATAGAGAATTTACAGCATAGAAACAGGCCCAGCTGCTCTGTACTGGCATTTATGACTCAATATGTGTTGATTCCAGACACGCTGTCATGTTGTACAACTAACTCTTTTTAAAGCCCTTAAGGATGACAATTGTTTTGTTTGTGCGGACATGTTGCTTAAGTACACTTGGTCACATCCTCCGAGCAGGGAAAGTTAGGGGGAAGATTTATTCAAGATTTTTAAAGTTATGAAGGGCTTAGTCAGAGCAAACTGGAAGGAATGGCTGCCCCTGGCAGGAGGGAGGACAACTAAAGTCAAAAAAAGCAGCAGGGGGGCAATGGGTGGCATGGTGGCTCAGTGGTCAGCACTGCTGCCTCACAGTGCCAGGGGCTTGGGTTCAATTCTGCCCTTGGGCAACTGTGTCTGTGTGGAGTTTGCATGTGTCTGTGTGGGTTTTCTCCAGGTGCTCTATTTTCTTCCCACAATCCAAAGATGTGCAGGTTAGGGTGGATTGGCCGTGCTAAATTGCCCCATAGCGTGCAGGCTTAGGTGGGTTAGCCAATTGGAAATGCAGGGATAGTAGGGGGTGGGACTGGGTGGGATGGTCTTTGGACAATCGGTGTGGACTGAATGGGCCGAATGGCCTGCTCCCACACTATCTGCATTCTATATGCAGCTTAGAGTGGATTGGCAGTGGGAAAATACCCCATAGTGTGCAGATTAGGTGGATTAACCATGGGAAATAGAGGGATGGGGTGGGTCTGGGTGGGCTTCTAGTTCACCTTAAGAATATTCGATGATCACAGTCTTTTACAGACGCGGATGTTTAAAGGGGCAACGTGCTTTTGAAAGAGTATGTAAGTAGGCCATGTGTTCATCGCCGAGCCAAACAAAGGATGCATTAGCAAAAAGATCAGAGCGGGAGCTGAGGGGAACTTCATTTACAAGAGTGTTCTGAAACGTACAGCCTGCAGTTGGAGTGAGAGTAGATTCAATATCAATCTCAGGCAGTGGGAAATCTCCTCCCATTGATCAGCAGCAAGAAAGTGGCTTCTCATGCTGATCAACTCAAGACGAGCAAGGCAAGGATTTTAAGACCTAGACATTTTTCTTCCTTTAAAATCTGGATTTTTTTTCTTCCCCTTTTGGCTCTTTGTCTCTTATTTCTGATGTTTTTTTCTTAAAATTATGGTTTTGGCTCTAGTGAATGGTGACCTTGTACACTTTTCACTGTACTCCTGTGCCCTTATACATGTGAAAATAAATCCAATCCTCAGCCCTTTATTCATTAACGGGATGTGGTACGTCGCTGGCCAGGCAGCATTTACTGCCCATCCCTAATAGCCCATAGGGCAGTTAAAAGAGTCAACCACATTGCTGTGGGTCTGGAGTCACATATAGGCCAGACCAGGTAAGGGGTAGCAGCTTCCTTCCCTAAAGGACATTAGTGAACCAGATGGGGTCCCTTCCCCTCCCCCTCCCCCTTCTCCCGACAATCATCAACGGATTCATGGTTAGGATTAGACTCAATTCAGTTTTTTAAAATTGAATTCAAATTCCACCATCTTGCCTTAGCAGGATTTGAACTCAGGTCCACAGAACATTATCTGGGTCTCTGAGTTAACAGTCCAGTAAAAGGCCTTCTCATTCTAATTTTCAAAAAGGATTTGGATGAATACTTGTTGGGGGAAAGGTTTTGCAGGCCTACAGGCAAGGGGTAGGTGAAAGGGACGGAATGGTAGTTCTGGAAGCTGGAAGAACAGCCGCTCATTTTCTGACTGGGAACCCTGCAGCCTTCAGGACTCAATATCGAGTTCAATAATTTCAGGGCCTGACTACCGTCTCCCAGCTGTCTCCTGGCCCGTCCTGGTGTCCTCTCCCTGGAGAGGCGGTCTCCTGGCTGGCCTGGCATAGCGGTCTCTCAGTGGCATGTGGTGATCTCTCGGTCTGGTACAGCGGTCTCCTGGCCTGGCCTGGCGATCTTGCACCTGGCGTGGTGGTCTTTTGGCCTGGTACGGCTGTCTGCGGGCCTGGCCTGGCGGTTTCTCAGTTGCGTGTGGCAGTCTATCGGCCCGGTGTGGCAAACTCTCTCTTGGCCTGGCCTGATGATTTTCCAGCGTGGCCTGGCAATCTCTCAGCAGCCTGGTATGACAGCCTTTCGTGGCCTCAGTGTGGGCTTCCGACCTTGAGGTGATTCCAGAGCGGTCTTCCAGCCTCAACAGTCTCGAGGTGAGGCCCGGCACAGTCTGGAGTCAAGGCCGAAAATGGACTAGAGACTAGGTGTGAACTGGTTTGGAAAGACTCTTGTTCCAAACTTCTTATTTCTCTATTTTCTAACTTATTCATACAATCAGTAATGCTGGACTTTTTATTTCTTTGTTTTTCTAATTTTTTTCCCCTAAGAACTTAGA